CAATTGCATTGAGCCTCACTGCTCGCCACCTTGAACACACACACAATGAGAGATCGCATGAAGTCCACACTGGAGTCTAGAGATGCAAAGTCCAGATAAGCGCAACTTAGAAATTCCAACAAATTATCATATTAAGCAGTCTCAGAGTTCCAGTCACCAGCATCAGCACAAAGTTCACCAACCCAACTCCAACATCCCTTGGTAACTCTCTTCTCTCTCTGTCCCCCCCCCCTCTCTCTCTTTATCTTCTTCATGCATGCGCTCACTCTCTTCGTCTACTCTTCCTCCCTCTCTCTCTCTACTTGAGGATATTGACTCTGAATACATCCGGTACCACTCAGCTCTATCTCCTACTACTAGCTATGCCGCTATGGCCGCCTTCCCTCTCAGCACAACGCTGCCCAGCAGGGCTCTCGCGCATGCCACTCGTAGATAGCGCACAAGCGCTCCAGCAACACTTCCACACTTCTCACTAATGAGCCATCTCCCTGAAATGTGGCTGGCCAGACCTTATGTCGACTTGGACTGAGCCTGAACTCATCCAACCTCTGCTTCCTTTGGTTTGACTTGGTCTCGATACCACATGCCCGCGGCCTGTTAGCTTCAGAATGTTGAGGCCTGGTACTTTCCCGAATTGTCATTGGTGTGCTGCTGCTTGGGTCTGTGAGTCATGACTTTCCATCAGTTGAACATGACTTTTGACTGTGGGATGTGACTCTTGCTTCTGGGACACGACTTTTGCCTGGAGAAGTGTCCTTTGCCTGTGGGATATAACCTTTCAATATGAGACGTGACTTTTGCTTATGGAATGCAACTTTTGCCTCTGGGATGTGTTTGTTCACCGGGTGCCTGTTGGACTTGACTCCTAAGGTACCCGACTGTGACCTTTATGAACTCGCCGACTTGGCCTCTTTTGACCTGAGACCCTGACCCTGAGATTCGAATTTGGGGTCTGCATCGTGGAATGCCTTTCAAGAGTAAGGACGGAGGTATATTCCTATTCATTTTTCTTCAAGTTTTCTCAGATCTTCAGCCTATACTTTCTGTTCTCTCACAGATGCTCATTTGTATGCATTTACTAGTAACTTTTTTCTTTTTTCTTTTTTTTGTACTTAAGAAGAGGGAGGAAGGAAATGGGAGGTGGAATTCTGACAGGGTTCTAAATCGTCACCGCTGGAGCAGACCACTCTAGACTGTCACGTAAGGCCAGTCAGTGTTTAGGTTGCTAAGATTTTGAATTGAGGAGCAGTCGCTACATGTGGTAAGTAGCCACCTCTACAGACCAGACATGACCAGTTCGGGTGTGGACTACGGAAGCACCACATCTAATTCTCGCAGTCGCAGTTGCTTCATCAAATGGCCCGACATACACAGATGTCACAGGCTACGTGGTTCCTACATGCTAGCAACACAGAGGCACGCCGACCCGTATGCGTGTATGTGAGGGGTCCATTGTTCCATTTATGGCACTGTAAGTATGGTTATGCCATGTATGATGTCTCCTCTGATCAGCAAATTGGTGGCAAATTAGTGAAAATTGAAAATGCATTTCAGCTGCCAGTGCACAACTCCAGCCTTGTTGCCCACAAAATTTTTGTCTCAGGGCTCCTAGACCACAATGGCTGGTGTCGCCAACCAAAAAAGAAAAAACGTGTGCCACTAGTGGTTTGGCCAAGTTTGTCCGGCAGTGAAGCCCCGCCAGGCCCAGGTGTATTGTGGTTTAAGGGTCTATGGCCCATGTCCATAGCTGGACATATTACAGTGATTTCCTAGCCGATTTTGTGGTAGAATGTACAGTGATTTCCTGTCTAGCCGATTTTGTGGTAGAATGGCGGTCAGTCTACCCATGTTGGAACAAGATGCTATGCCTATATCATGCCTATATCATGCCTATAGCATGCCTATATCATGCCTATATCATGCCTATATCATGTCGATTCAGTCTGTTTGTTGCATAACTCATAACGTGTGCACTGTGATGTTGGCATGTGTATGATTATGCGTGCATGCAAGACTTGTTTTCTGAATTTCGCAGATTGGATGGCTGTTCTGCTTTGACCGTGCCTGTCGCATACCATAAAGGTGCAGACCAGAACAAGAACCGACCTCTCTCACAAAGTACAAGATAACACAGCGGAAGGCTTAAACTCCAATGATCCAAACAATCAATGTCGCAATGTAGCCCAAATATACATCGTCATCATTCCATGGTGTGAAGGGGCCTGGCGCTCACACAGGAAGAATGCGCCAGTCCCCAACCATACACAAACGAAGAAGAGGGGGGTTAGACGAAGAAGAGGGTGGTTAGACGAAGAAGAGGGGAAGATGGGAATGTCGTCAACACCAAGTCTTCAGCACAAGCCCCAAATAATCCCTCGTCAAATGTCCGAATCCCAATGTCGAGTCTCGATCCAATGTCGTCAAGTCCCAAAGTCACCAATCTCTCTCTCTCGTAGTCTGTAGGTACTGAGAAGTTAGGTAGCGAGAGGGGGAGGAGGAGATGGTAAACTTAGAAGAGGAAGAAAAAGAATTCTCTCTCTCTCAGTCCGGTACTAACCTGTGAAGGTGGCGCCTTGTTGCTGGTACATCGAAGACGACGCTGGAGCTATGGCGCCACAGGTAAGTCTCCCTGGCCTCCGCCAACCATCTCTCTCTCTCTCCACTACCACTCTAGCTCCTAGTAGCGCCCAACGCTGAAGACTACTGCTAACGCTACTCCTACTACTGCAGCGCTCCTCCAAAGTGCTGCTGCCGAATACTGAAGACTGCCTCCTGCCTCCTGCACGTGAAGTGCCTGGGAAGTTCCTAGGAACTACCTCGTGACTGTGTGCAGCCTGTAGGG